GTTGCGCTGTTGATACTGGACTCCATCATCATGTTGTTGAGAGTGCTGAGGTTCTGTTGTGCTTTCTTCGAAATTTTATTTTAAATGGGTATACATGTGAAGAGGATCTTGGAGTTTGGGAAGGTTTTGTTGGCTGTGGCGATTAATTTCTGGGCTTGGTTAAAGGAGGTCTTTGGTAGCTGATCACGGTTGTTGAGGCCTACATGAAGAATAATGGTAGTAGGTTTGGGATCATGGTCGTATGATTCCAGGATTGATTGTATGTGATGGATTTGGGCACCGGGGTAAGAATGTATTTCGGTGTCTGAACTGGTTTTGGTAATTCGATTCAGGTTAGATGATCCAATTATTAAGGTAGATTTCTTTAGAGCAGGTAGCTTCCATAATGATTTGTCCTTGGTTTGGTGATAATACGGTTTGGTAGCGGATATAATGGTCGTCGACGGTGTGATTGGTACTGGTTTGGTAGTTGTTAGAATTGTAGCAATGGGAACGGACTGGGATCTGGTTCGAGGGGGGGGGGGAAGGTCTGCATACACGTCTCGACTTGGATGGAGACTGAGGGGTGGTTTGCTGGTCCAAAAACGCACAGAAGGAAGAAAGGTTGGTGGATCATGGATCACGTGGTGAAGATTCAGATGGTGTGGAAGGGGAAGACGAGTCTGAAAGTGAAAAGTGAAGGGGAATGCCCTCTCTACGAGAGCGTTTACCTATGTCTGCTGGACTAGGAGTAGGTGAACTTCGGCCTCGTTTAGGGGTTTGGTTCGGCAGCGTGGTGGCTCGTGGAGATATGGTTACTCTGGTTTTTGTTTCGTTGATTGTTTGGTAGAACTTGGTGATTACAGCTTGATTGAGATGTTTCCCATATGAGCGACGGGCCCAGGACAGGGCATGAGAAATGATGCGGTCGACGGCAGGTGATGATAAAGACTTGGTACGAATGGTGGTCAGCTTCTCTTGAAGTGTGGTTTGGTTATGGTCGATCAGGACCTGCGTAACCTTAGAGAAACTCAGAGACTTTGCGTTTGAAGGTAAGCGCTGGTTGGCCTTGCTGTTGAAGGGTAAGGATTGCCAAATGATGGAGGCACTGCAAAACTTGGAAGAACACCTTCACAAAGGGTTCTTCCTCCTTATGAGTGGGGACTGGTTGGCGTCGGTGGGCTGGTAGTCGTTTCTGTTGTTGGTCAGGTCGATGGTTACCTCTTGATTGGTAGGTGTTGTAGGTAGGTTGGCGATGGGGTGGGATATAGCTGGATGGGTTGGTTGGTGGTCGGCGATTGGTAGGTGGTAGAAGTCGATGGAAGACAGGGCCGTTGTAGGGTACGTGATATTGGTTTGGTTGACGATTAGTGTTTCTATGTCTGGCTTCTTGCCAGTGGTTGTTGTAGTTGGGGAGCATAATGAAAATAACTTGAGGTTAGAAAGGGAATGTACAGCGGATGTAACAGGAGGAAACTGTAAATGCTAGCGTGAAAATGTGGGGATCAAATTATGCAAATAAGTCAAACTGGGTATGGGGATATATAAAGTAAGATGAAAGTTATGATGAAAAATGCAAAAATATATATTTAGGTGATAAATAACGCCAACAATGATGTGAAAAATTATAACAAGTAAAACAAAAACTTACGCAATTGACACTTGAATTGACATTGAATATTGTTGGGTGAATTTTGGAATTGGTTTGACTTGTAAGTGGAGGTTGAAGTTGAGGTTGGGGCTCGAAATGCAGTTTGCTGGATTTTGTTTCTGCAGAATTTTTTGGGGTGCTCCCCATTACAGAAAAGACAATTATGAATAAAATGACATTGTGCATTATTACATGATCCTTTATTATTAAATTTAAAGCACTTACCCAGTGCAGTGAAAATTGTAGGACGATATGAAGATGTTTGAGTTGGCTTAGAGCTATTTGACATGTACAATAACCACAACTCATAATCTACTCCTCCCCAAGAGCTTGACGGATTACTTGCCCTCCTTAGTCTGTATTGCTCATCATAAGATTCCCACCCAAGATTTTGTGCTCTTAAAGATCCTGTTCTTACTGATCTCATGTATTTTAGGAGTTGTTGAGATTTGGTAGGGTGTGTTGTTAAATAAATACTCATGAATATGATAAAAGCATCAGTCCATTTCTCAATGTCATAGATTTTTTAAGTGGATTTAGGCTTCGATACAAGTTCTCCATTTGAAGTTAATGAAAGATGCATTTCTTGCTGTTTATGGGGAGCCACCAACAATATTGACAAATCAATATATTCTCCATTGCAAATTTTTTGCTTATATGCAACGGAAACATTCAAACCAAGCGGGGAATGAATACTAACCACTGGTTCTTGAGTGTCAATTGTGCTTCTGGGTATAGTAGGGTTGGTTTATGTCGGTAAATCAACCTGTTCCCTTACCCCTATATCTGATAAGTTTCTACAGGTTCTGACAAAAACATTACCTGGTTCAATCTGTTGTTGTTCAGAATCAGTGCCATCGTTGGATTTACAGCAAATATTAGAGTATATAAACATAGTGATGATACTCCCTATCAAATATTTCTTGGTGATTATTCTAATTTTATTTTCAAAAGAAAACTTGTAATTTAAATTATTTTTCCTATGCAGGTAAAAGTTGATTCAATATTCTTCAGATAAAACTCACGATCTTCACCTATTAAACAATTATTTAACGCTCGTAAAGTTCTTCAGTTTATCAATGGTACAAAAAATGTAGAAACTAATGAATTAGAAATTAACGACGAAAACAACAACGATGATCACTTATATGAAATTAAAACAAGTGGAAAATATATAGATAGGTTTAGAATGTTAATCATAGCAGATAAAGAAGAAGATGAATTTGCATTGGGTGGTTTTGATATGATATTGGAAACGGAAAGCCCACCATCAGCAAATATTATTAGAAATCCAGAACCACAAAAAGAAGGAAATATGAGTGATAAGTTTTTACGAGTAACAGACTTTGAATACGTAAAACTATATTTTGTTAATAATGATAGATTTACCCCAATTGATATTCATAAAAGTCAATAAAAACAAAAATTTTTGACACCAACAACAAGAGAAAAAGATACATATGTTAATATATCAGTCTCTATTGAAAAACCGTATTTTTCAGTTCATCTAAACAAGATTAATGATTCGAAAGAACAAATATCCTTAGTATCTGTAGAAGTTTTTTTTGAAGCTAATAAACAAGTAGCAGCTTTATCAGACGTTCACTTAATTTAATTACCTAAAAATGGAACTAGAAAGCAGACAAAACTACATGATAGAAAAACAAAATGAACTAAAAGAAAAACTAAAACACTTTAAAAAATGGAGAAAAACATGGATTAGAATTGATTCTGTTTTCAAAACATTAAGTACAGTTCTAACAGGGATAACGGTGGCAACAGCCGTAACTGGTGGATTAATGCTTCCAATAATTGTCCCAACTGTATTAGCCGCGTTCACTGCCGTTCAAACTTCATCTTGTGGATTGATTACTTAGGTTTTACATCCAAACAGAAATCTCATTATAAAAAGAAAACAGAAATTTTAAATACATATCTTAATAATTGTTTATATTTTTCGAAAGATCCAGAGAAGATAAGAACATAACCATTAAAAAATTAGAAAAATTCGATGAAATTTTAGATAAATTTGATGTAGAAATATCATCAATAAAACAATCAAAAATTCCTAGTTCAAATAGTTGCTTAAAAAATATGAATAAAATTGAAATTTAAGACGATGAAACATTCATATCAAATGAACTTTTTTTCAGTATTATTAACCTTATTTCTTAAAAATTTGAAACATTTAAAGGACAAATTGAATTAGATGGAGAGATAATTCAAGATGGAGGACACAAACAAAACAGGCTTTAATGCCAAAACTTTTCACAATTTCTTCGCAACTGTGGATGTAAAATCGGATGCTTCTGATTGGTATTTCGCAGGAAAATTCATTTTACGTAGAAACAATTTTAAAGAAATAGAAAGATCAAAAAAGGGTAGTGGTGTTACCCTACTCAAAAAGATAAATGAATATAGTAGCGGTATAAATTGTTATATACCAAGCGATGGATACTGCTTTGTTAAGTGCGTAAATCATGTTTTGACTACACAAAACAATTTCAAGATTTCATCAACAGTTTTTCAAAATAAAACAGAAAAGGAGTTATGACAACTGCTAGAATCTGTGAATTCAATAAGAAATTTAATACTTATTTTCAAATTTATATGCCCAAACATAGACATTTTCAACCGAAGGTAATTCTACCACCATCATTCAATTGGGATTTAGAACCAACAGTCGGTGAGATGATAATATAATCCTCTTTTTTCTTGTTAAATGAATAACGAATCGGATCGTATAATTTAAAGATTGGATCTTGTATTTTATTTGTCATTTTCAAGGTTTAAAAATTGAGTAGAAAATTGTGGTCTGTTTTTTTTTTTTCAAAAAAAGAGTAATCTTCCTTGTAGAAGTTTCTACATTATTAAAACCGGATGTTAAGCGAAACAAGAAAGTTATTTTATATAAGGGTATTTTTTATATGCTTTTTTCGTTTAATTTAGAGTGAATAGGTTTGGGGTGTGGGGTTTGATGGAATGTAGGAATTGATTGAAGATGTTTTTGGTGTAAGAATTTATGAAATGTAGGGTGTTCAGGTTTTTTTTGGTGTAAGAATTTATGATATGTGGGGTGTGTAGGTCTTTTTGGTGTAAGAATTTATGAAATGTAGGGTGTTTAGGTCTTTTTGGGACTACTTATATACTTATACATGTATGATAAAAATGAATATCAAAAAACCAAAACTTTCAGTTCATTTGAATAAGATTAATGATTCGAAAGAAGAAAAATCTATAGTAACTGTAGAAGTTACTATTTTTAAAACTATAGAAATTTATCATGGCTCAGCGGTTGCGATGGATGTTTTAGATAAAAATTATCCATCTTTTTCTTTATCAGAAATTCACTTAATTTAATGTCTTAAAAATGGAACTCGAAAGTAGACAGCAATATATTATAGAGAAACAAAACGAGTTAAAAGTAAAACTAGAACAATATAATAAATGTAAGAAAAGATGGATTAGAGTTGATTCTGTTTTCAAAACACTGAGTGTAGTTCTAACAGTAGGAACAACAGTTGCAACGGCTGTAACTGGTGGATTAATGGTTCCAGTACTTGTCCGAACTGTATTAGCCACAAATTCTGCTTTTCAAACTTCATCTTGTGGGTTGATTGCTATTGCTATGAAAAGGTGAAAATTGTTACATACCAACAGATGGTAACTGTTTTATCAAATGTGTAAACTATGTTTTATACAAAGATTTAACAAATGAATTTCAAAATTTCATCAATGGTTTCTCAAAGGCAAATAGAAAAGGAGTGATGACATCTGCTAGAATTAATGAATTCAATAAGAAATGTGATATTTCATTTCAAATTTATACTCATAATAATAGAAATTTGCGCCCCACAATTGTAAAAGAGGAATTAGATTGGGTTTTATATTTACACAACTCCCATTTCTGTCTTATAAGAAGAAATAAAAAAGTTTGGGTATTAAAGAAATAGAAGATAATTATGAACAAGTATGGAAATCGTGTAGAGACGATAACGCAGTAACACAGTTTTCACCTCTAAAATAAATGTGTTTTCAAGTATAAGTAATGCTGGGTTATTTGCTTGGGATTGTGAAACATATTCAGCAAAGTGGAACGCGTATGCATATACGTTAATTAATTTCGAAAAACTAACAAAAATGTTAGACAGAATAAATAATCTCTTTCCAGATTTAAATCCTACAGATAATGTTCCAGAAGAATTTTATGATAAACTAATGAATATAGTAGAAATATTTGTAGGTACAGATTCTATAGATCAAATGTTAAATGTAAAAGATAAAACAGATTAATTCAAACTTAAAAAAATAAAATGTACTAAACTAATGGCATTTGATGCTAATGGTTTGTACGCTTCAGCAATGTCAGATTTAGACAGTGAATATCCAAAAGCAGAAAGTGCTAGACCGTTTCTACCAGAAGAAGAAAAAAAAATTGTAAAACTCTTCAATGAACAGCTAATCCTAGAACAGCTATTTTAACAGTGTGGGTTGACTATTCCAAAAACATGTTCTTCCAACCGATACCACCTAAAGATAATATCACTTTCACGAATAAAGACGGAAAAAAGGAAACTGGCAGTAAAATCAGGTTTAGAAATGGTTTCTGTTCAGATGTTTTAACATCGGTCGATATTCAAGAAATAGTTAAAGCCGGTGGACGAATTATTAGAATATTAGATGGTATAGTATACGAAGAAAATTTTAGTACTCCACTATATAATTTTAAGAGATCTTAGAAAAAAATAACGAGAAGGTAATATTGTGGGAAGTAATTGCATGAAATTATTAGGCAATTCCTTGTATGGTAAATCTATTCAGAAAGATAGAAACACGAGAAATCATTTGTGGAATGAAGTAACTTTTCAGGCTAACTTCGACTCACATGTTAAAAACTATGAAAAAATAAATGACACTCAATATTTCGTTGATACAGAAATTGAAGAAAAGGAGATTCCTGTTGAAGATCACTCAACTAAACACATAGTCATTTGGGATCATTCGTTTTATCCCACAGTAAAAGAAAATAATGAATAATTTCATTCATGTAGTAAATGGATTTTATAAACCTGAAATATACTATACCGATACTGATGGTTTATTCATTTCATCTAGAAATTGGGATAAATTAAATCGAGCTGGGTTGGTATCTGAAAATGAATATTGTAAAGGCAAGAATGATTATGGTGATGGTGGAATCATATTTGGTTTATATTTAGCGCCGAAAATCAAATATATCATTCTTACTTCTGATGGTGTTTTAAAAGAAAAGAAAACGTTTAAGGGTTATTCTTATAATAAGACAAGTGTAGAAGATTATATTCAGTTGGCTAGTGGACATGATGTGTCGAACGAATTTAATAAAAGATGGAGTTTCACGAATGGAGTCGTTATTCCAAAGGATGATGATAAACAAAAGAAAGTTTTTAGAAGTTATTTGAATCTAGTAAAGAGAAAACAACCCAACAGTGAAGGAACTGTGTTTCCTTATAGTGATAAAGATGAGTATAGTTTTGATGAAAACTATGAATTTGATGATTTCGATAACATGTATATTCAAGAGGAGAATGAAGAGTGGTTAATTAATCAATAAATTTAGTTCTTTTGTTTCAAATGAAGTTGAATAACAATTTCTTCGTTACCAAAATCAATAAACCTATTTTTACTATCTTTGATTTCCAGATTTATATTTTTAATCATGAACGAATTAAGTGGTAAATATGTTGTTTGAAATGGTTTCTCTATAATTCTATATCCAATCGGTACAGTGAATGTTGGAATACTGTAAATAATCTGACGTTTGTGTTTATTGAAACATCCACTGTTTATTAATGACGTCGATATCATTCTCGATATTAGCTTTATGCGGCGCTAAAGTGGATTGTGTGTATATTTGCTTATCAAATCCTAATAAAGTATTCAAAAAATTTTCTACATTGAAATCAACTTGACTCTTATTTCTCAATATGAATTTTATTTTGTTCAGATTCAAATTACCTTCGAATTCAGTATTGTTTTTACCATTTGCACTTCCCCCATATTCAGATAGATATTCGTTTTCGGCTATGTATTCATAGCTTCCTGGTAGTAAACTTATGGTTTTGAATGTAGCTCCGTTATCTGTTGATATTTTCATTGGGTTATTATTTTCGTTGATAATTCTAATGGAATTGTAAACAGAGAAATATTTTAATCCCAATTCATAATCTTCATTGCGATCGAGTTCGTACTCATAATCTAGACACAATTTAATGTCTGATTTATTTGAGGTGATGACGAATAATTGTTCTTTATTTGGCATTTTTTCAATGACTATTTTTATTGGATATTTTTATCAATTACGTTTTTATAATCATTTTTATCTATAATACCTTTCTCTAGGAATCTTTTTAATATGCAATTTACTTCATTATATTGTCTGTCTGAATGATGACCTTCTTTCATTGCTGCTAATATTATTTCTAATCTATTAAGCAATTCTTCATTATTATCGGATAAAAAAGTTATGCCTTGTCCACTGTTTTCTCTAGCTATCTTCTCTTCCAATTCGTCTATTTCTTGTATGATTGAATTGTCTTCAGCATAATCATCTACTTCGTCATCTTCAGCATATTCATCATCTTGATAAATAGCTTTTATATATAGATCAACTTCTTTTAATCTTCTTGTTTCGGGTCCCGTCTTTCTTATCGTAGGTAGAAATTCGGAGTATTCTACTAAATCCTTGCAATATCAACATCCCCCCATTCTTTAAATCTATTAATCCTTCTGTTAATGTAAATATAAAGTGTTTGTATCAATTTTGAATATTGGTGAATTTCCACTAAATCTTATTCTAAATCCATTAAACAATAACCCTTCATTATCAACAATTGGTGTAATACTCTTTGGCAAATCTGGGTTTGGATTTGAAAAATTACGTTTTATATCATCTAATGTCCTTATTATAAAACCACCATATTCAATCGGTTTTGGGGGATCTTTATGGGGTAAAGCTTCTATGGGAGGCGCGAGTCTCTTTTTAATATCTTCTTGACTTTTTAATATTTGTTGAAATAGAGTTTGTAGATTTTCTGTTAATCCAAGTTGTTGTAATTTGTTATTTTCAACTTGGGTCATAACTCTTTCACATGCAGGTTTTCTAGTATTAACGAATATATTTCCATGATCATCTGGGTTTCTCCATTGTGCTTTACAATCCTTTTTAAATGTATCTGTATCCATTCCGTGATTAATTGACTGAATAATTTGAGATAAATCTTTGTCGTTCAATTCGAAAAATAAAAAACAATTTGCATTTCTTCGAATGAATGAACATTGCATCCATACCGTAGAAAGATTGGGATCGGTAAATACAGTGACAGTTGTGATGTCTTCCCTTCGTGAAGAATTCTTGTGGAACGGCTTGATTTTTTTGTGCTGCACAGTCGTCAAACACTATTAAGTTCTTTCGCTCACTATCAATTTTAGACAAATCTAGATCATTAACATTTTTCGCAAGAAAACTTTTATATCCGTTGGATTGAAAGATGGATTCTTTTCTTTTATATATGTATCTAAGATATCTTTTATTTCTATCTCATCGTTGTCTTCATAATATTTAAATATGTCTTGAACATCTTTCTTTGGTATATATTCTAAAGCTTTGAGGAATTGGTAATATGATTGCTCTGGTGTTGTTGTGTAGATATATAATGAATCGAAATCTAAAAGTTTTGGTGTTGTCAACATGTTAAAGGTCAAATATGTTTTCCCAGAACCTGAGCTACCGCATATACACATGAGCATTGGGTTACTAGGAAATATTTCTCAATGGTTAAAATTCTTTCCCATTTTTTATTCTATATTTTTGTTCCAAAAATCACTCCTTCTCCTTTATACTTTGAAAGAATGTTTGTTTTTAAAAACTATGGCATTACCCTTATGTTTAAGCTTCATTTCTCCGGTGTCGATTTTATCTATTAGATTACGTAATCCCTCTTTAACAGTTTTCTTGGTTTCTTCACTAAATCGATTGCCAAATTCTTTAACTGTCCCTAATATATCTGCTACTCCCGAACCTTGTGCTATCTTTTCCATTTCCATATTATGTCTACGTTTTTCACTTTTTTCAGCATCAGCTGCTTTCTTGGCGTTGATGGCTTGTGTTATCCCAGCCCCCCCACCAGCTGTCGCTTCTGCTGCGGCCAGACCAGCAAATATTAAAGGTAGGAAAGGTAAAAATCCACCTTCTTTTACACTCTTGTCAATTCTTTCCAAATCTATATCATCACGAACTTTACAATGTTTATATTTATCAATAATTTTTTTTGGATATTTTAATCCTTTTATGTTATTGTAGTTGGTGATTCCGCTTCGATAGCTTCTATTATTCTTTTTACTAAAGTTTCTGGTTTCATTTTTAAGAGGGTAATTTAAATGATTATTCTATACGAATCATCCGTCTGTCGGATATTTTAATTAAATGTTTTGCTTCTTCCAATAATAAACAATGACCTGTTATAATTCCTTGTGTTTGTTCAATATAAATATTTATATTCACCCCTGTTTTGAAAAGATCCCCTTGATAGATCAAAACAGAAGATTGGATGATTAATTGCAAGATCTACATATTCAAACTGAGGTGAATTTCCAAATAATTCACATATTTTAATAGTTTCTATACAATTCATTATAATCCTTTGTGGTTGGATTAATTGTTAAAGGTTGGTTAGGATAATTATCGTTGTTTAATCTTCTTGAACTTTACGGATTATAGGATCTTGAGTTTGGTTCATTGCTACTCTAAAGATATTATTGTTATTCGTTTGAGAATCTGGTAAGTTCTTGAAACCAACCATTAAATATCTTGCTGGTTTAATAGTGTTAGTGATTGGCCATGTAGTGGATTCTCCAGTTAAAGTTATGCTACCTATTGTATTGCAACGAAGAAATGCTATTTCAATATCTTTAGTTAATGAGTTGAATATTCTCGTTTCTACTTCAATTGATGGTGTTATTACGGGTATGTTAAGTTAAAGATTTGTTATTTCTAATTTTGCATCTGAAGCATTCTCTCCAAAGAATATCTTATCATCATTGATTTCTCTTTGTAGATGAATTTTATATAGTAACCCTATGGAAACTTTTCTGTGTTCCAACAGACCGAATAGTGGATATAATTTCCAATTTAAGTAATTACCCCACCTATTATTCTTATTACAACATTATTGTACTGAAGTACTCGTTTTTAAAATCCGTGATTACCTGCTCGTCCTACTCTTTCTATTGTGTTTCGAGCAAAAGCTCTCATTCTATCTTCATTTGCATCATTTGGAACATTTCTTACCAGTTCTTTTAAAACTCTTTCATCACCAACATCGGGTATCAAGCCTAAGACTGAATCGTAGTTTTTGGGATATAGAACTGTTTTCAACATTGTGTCAAATTCCCCAGGGTGTTTAATGGTTTCTATGGGATTTGAACCAGCTTCCAAAACCATTTCAGTAAATAAAGATGGGAAGAAATTGTTTTCTAACGTTGTGTTGGTTTGTAGTACACTCATTGGGAGTTCCGTCTTTGATTTTGAAATCGCATCTGAAATAGGCATCAGACAGAAGCAACCACTTCGATAATGAATTAATCTCGAAAGTGGCCCTACCCCCATCATTTAGTTGAGACCTAGAGCCAACGGTTGGTGATATGATAATGTAATCCTCTTTTTTCTTATTAAACGAATAACGAATTGGATCATATAATTGAAAGATCGGATCTAATCTGTAATTTTTTTCTGCCATTTTTAAAGACAAAAATTTGGATAGATTGTTTACGGATTATTGTAAAAGTTTCGAGAAAAAAAAAGAGACTAATAAAAACTGTCTACAAACTGGATGATAAAGAAAACAAGGAAGGCATTTTGATATTTATTTTTAAATAATATGCTCTAATGAAGGGATAATAGGAATCTGATTGAGGTATTTTAAAAGTTCAAGATGTCGGACAAAGGAATCTATCTTCAAATTTGTGTTTCTGAGATGAATTCTATGTTGACCTATATAGTCAACAATTACGTATTTACTTCCTTGTGTTATATGTAGTCTCTCTCTATATATATCATCTCCAAATCATTACAGATTCATTATTTTTAACAGTTCAAGATGTGGGACAAAGGAATCTTCAAATTTGTGTTTCTGAGATGAATTACTAGTGAATTCTATGTTGACCTGTTGTCAGCATGGTATACTTATAACTTTGCAACTTGTAATTTAGTTAACATAACATTTAACATAATTATCACTATCTTTCTAGGTAGCCCTAGTATTTCTCTCAGCGTGCCTGTCTTTACTTCCATTGTCGGTATAGCATGCCTAAAGTTATTATCACTTTTGTAGTTACTGTACTTATTATCTGTTTCAGAGCGGCCATCTTGTTTTATATTTAAAGTCACTTTTGTATTCATTAATTAGCTGCTAAATTTAATTGGGTTAGTAAAATCATTTGTTTTAAGTATCAAAATATGTATTTGTATATTACAGATATATATAGTTAATTGAGGCATGGGTTCTTAATTTTATAATATTAGTTCAAAGTGTAAAACTTGTCACATTTCCTGACCAGTCAATGAGTTTTCCAGCATTGATTTAAATATAGGTTGTATCTCCTAATTTAGCTAAGCTTGAATATCAATCAGATGACTCATTCTCTCTAAATTAGACGGGAGCCGCGGTGGCTCAGTGAGTTAGACGCTTGCTCGCTAACCTGAAGGTCCAGGGTTCAATCCCAGAATAGGTCGAGATAATACCTTCGGATTTTTCAACCCGGTTTCCCCCTGTCAGTGATGCAGGTAAGAGGGGCTGACATGGAAAAAGCGTCTAGTCGTTCGGATGGGACAATAAACCGAGGCCCCGTGTGCTACAGGCTGTGCACGTTAAAGATCCCTCGACAGTTGGAAATCGAAAAAGAACAGGCTAATGCCGCTGTCCTGGCAAAATTTCCCTCATTGCCCGTCTTCATTAGCCCACATGGTGCAGAAAAGTAGGACGTAAAACTCCATTCATTTCATTTTCTAAATTAGACGATTTAGATTTAGTAACAGGTGTGTATGGATTTTATTGATTGTTGGTGACGACCACAAATCGTCCCGAACCCTTAATTGCAGTGCATTCTTCGAACGCACTGCATTGTTTTCGAAATGACTATTTTTTTTTTTTTTTTTTTTTTGTCTACTTCTGGTCACGCTCCCCAGCCAAAACTGCACATGCCACAGATTATCTGACATCATTATCTCTTATACTTAGCGTGTCGCTATTGTTTAAATGTAAAATGACGCATCTTCGCCCAACCGGAAATGACGTAGGACTTTAACCGTTCATTACGTCTTTCCAATACCTGCCATTATTCTGAATCTATTTTGAACATAATTTTTGTTTTGTTCATTACTTTGAACTAATGTCTAAAAGATAGCAATTTAAGAAATTTCAAATTTTGACTTTTGTCGCTGACTTTTAGAGATTTTATTTAAAGCATTTTTTAAACTTCCACAATTTTATTGCGATCGATCTGAAAATTTTCATGTAGATAAACATTTTGATTGTGAACAAAAATATGCTTTCAAAATTTAGATATCACTTCCGGTTATGACGTCATTCGCCTCCAAACTTCAAATTTCAACTTCCGGAATTTTGTAGATATTTGAAAAATTCTTTTTGCAATTAGTTATAAAGATTTTGGAATCAAAAAATTTGACCCGGAAGTATTGTGTAAGACGCCATCTTGATATGACTCATTTTTATAAAACTCAAAATGGGGCCTCAGGGTAAAATTGGATGTGCGTAAATTTGATGTTTATGTACACTACAATCGATTGCTAACAAAACATGGGAAGCCGATTTTTGAATTTTGGCTTTGTATTTTTTTTATTTCCGGTTTTATGTTTTCAGTAATTGTCAAAACTATTAAGGCTCATATCTAGTGACTTTGACCTTTGGTGACCTTGTGACCTGAACAAAAGTTGTTGCCTCTTACGAGATCTATCCGATTATATCTACACCTTTGTTGGTCATCGTTAACTTCCGGTTCTACAGCCATTGGAAAATCGCGATTTTTAACTTTGAAGAGCTCTGTCACGTGACCTGATTAACATACGACATAAATTCTTATATATTCTTTGAGTGCATGAAATCTCCTTTTTGGTGATATATCACACTTGATATTTTGATCAAAATTGCGCGTGTAAAATCACGGTGTCTATAATTTACCGACAGTCATCGTTGCCCTAAAAAAAAGTTTAACTACGAATATCTCATGATCTAATGATTGTAAAGACTTGAAATTTTGAACATTATTTAACAGTGTAGACATTATGACAGACAAATTAAAATTTTTGAAGTGGGCATGGCACATCCGGTGTGCATTTACCTTTACCTGAAATATTTGCAATTGTTATAACTCTCATAGTTTTCAATTGTCACCCTAGAAATTTTGCATGAAAATAGATCACTGCTTAGGACAATTTGTGATAAGATTACAGTTGTTTGCATTCTTTACTTTAAAAAAGGGAACAGGTTTAACAATTTTATAAATGTTCAATTTTAGAAACTTCAAAGACTCATATTACTTTTATTTGACCTTTGTTGACCTTTTGACATGAACAAAAGTTGTTGCCCATTACGAGATATGTCAGATAATACCTTCACTTTTGCTGTGCATCGTTAACTTCCGGTTCTACAGGCAATTGAAAATCGCGATTTTTAACTTTGAAGAGCTCTGTCACGTGACCTAATTTACATACGTGAAAATTTCTCTTATTTCCTTATTACACACAATCTATTCTTTCAAATGATATATAACACTTGGCATTTTGATTGAAATTGCGCTTTTTAGAATTTGAAAATTTTGTATTGACTTCTGTGCCTGAGGACGACGGGGGAAACACGTCGAAACGTTGCATAAAAATTTAACCAGTGATTGTTGTTCTATAAAGCTGTGTCTATATATCGTACTCACAATTGCTATATGCCATTCAAAGACTTCTATAGTAACTGTGCGTAATTTCAACGGTTTCTTTAATCCACCCACAGTCACCGTTGCCTTTTAAAACTTTTAAATACGAATATCTCATGATCAAATCATTGTAAACACTTGAAATTTTGAACATTATTTGACATTGTACACATTATTACAGACAACAAAAAATTTATGCAGTGGGCGTGGCAAATCCGGGTTACTTTTACCTTTACCTTAAATAATTCAAATCGTTATAACTCGCAAAGTTTGCATTTGTCACCATCGAAGTTTTAAATAAAACTAAAACACTATTTGGGACAATAATTGAAAGAGTTAAATTTTGTTTGGGCCTTTTACTTTAAAAAAGGGAATAGGTTTTACAATTTAACAAATGTTGATATTTTGGCCATTAGCATGCATGACCTTGGTCTTTACAAGGTCAAAGGTTATTGATCTACGATGTCCATTCATACTTTTATCTTTGATGACCGACATAGATTTTCGCCTTTACAGACGTCCCAAAACAGGAATTTTCAACACTTTTAAAGCTTATATTTCTTTTATTTGACCTTTGTTGACCTCTTGACCGTAACACAAGTTATAGTATCTGACAAAACCTTTCCAAAAATAATTCCATTTTTGTTGTGCGATTTGTTTTTTTCACTTTACAGCTATTTGAAAATTCGACTTTTTACTACCGAATGTTAACACCTTTTAGTACCGAATGGTATCAAATCCATGCGTCTTTTCACTACCGAACGTTAAACGGCTTAAACGATTTTTTTTACTATTGAATGTTTACATGCTTTTCTTTCCGTTAAGATATCTCATTTTGACTTTAAAATGCAACGTGTTATCGATGTATCAGGTTGGATGCGCACTGCTTCGGTACCGTTATAACGGTTCTAGTTTTAATTGTAATTGTAACGTTAATTTAATGACAAATGCTTATCTATAAATGCTTATCTATAAAAACGTTGAAAATTATTTTGTTTTATTTCTGGTGCGTGCAACACTAAAGTTTAAATGGTGGCTGGAGTGGGATTGCTTTAGAATAGATTTGATTAATTTATGGACTACCCTCTGAGTAGTTTAGAGTATTTACAGCAGGCTGTGTCACAGTTAAGTTCATCATATGAAAGAGATGTAACTGCTCTGGAGAGAAGAATACAGCAGTACAGAAATACAAGATTGAATGTGTCTCCTGCAAGTGATATTGAATTAGTTTCTTCTACCTCAAGAGGGTCATGTACGCCTACACTATTTTCAGAAACAGCAAGTACACCACTTAGTACACAGAGCAGCAATCATAGCATGTTTGGTACAACAATAAATCAGAGAGCAACCTCAACTCCTGCTTTCCGATTGTTTGATCCTAATCCAACATTTAGTAGACCTGCTTGTACTCGAGCTGAGGGCGATTAAGTCAGGAGTACAGTTGCAGAAAGTAGTAGATCTCATGGGGAAGTCCCACCTAGGTCATCTAGGGTTAGTTTTGATGTTCCTGCTGAGAGAACGTATACTCGAAGTAGATAAGCTAAGCCTGTTGCTATGCCACCTAAATTTGATGGTGAGGGCAGTTTAGTGGATTATATGGTTCAGTTTGAAGTGACTGCAGAAATATATAAATGGAATAAAAATGGGAAAGCAAAATTTCTTGCAATTAGTTTAGGTGGAAAGGCCAGGGATATTTTTGGCACGCTTCGAGCTGATGATGTACGTAACTATGATTGTTTAGTTAAAGCACTACGACAGAAATTTGATCCTCCTGAACTAGCAGAAATGTATAAGGTCCAGCTGCGGGAAAGGCGTCGTAAGGCTGGTGAAAATTTACCAGATTTTGCTTCCTGCATACGAATGATTGTTAAGAAGGCTTATCCAACGAGCAGCGATTTTATTAAAGAGGAAATGGCCAAAGATCATTTCGTTCAATATTTTGGCAATGGGCAAATGCGCATGCTAGTAAGCCAGGCACGCCCACGTGATTTGAACTCAGCACTTCACCATGCCATGGAACTGGAAGCTATCAAATGTTCGGATCCGGATACCCGAACAGCTTATGTAACTAATGTCAAGGACAAACTGGCAAAGAAGTCGACAGATTTAGGGAATAAAGAAATGAAGGTGTTAATAATGGCACTTTCGGAAGAAATTAAGTTGTTGAAGCAGAAAGTTGAGACAAAAGGTAATGAGTCAAAACAGGATGAAATTAAGAAGACAATTGATATTGGGAATAAAAGAAGTTCAGTTGATAGACCATGAAGAAACAACTTTAGTGAAGTTACATGTTTCAATTGTTTGGAACTTGGGCATTATGCAAACATGTGCCCTTCCCCTCGGAGGAGTAGCTACTCCAAAGATGATAATCAAGGGAGACAAAGTTCAGAAATCAATAGTAAATCAGATTCTCATATTCCAGAGCGAACAGTGAATTCTCTGAATCCTAATTCCTCTGGTCTTTTTGTGGAAGGGCTTGTTGAAGGTGATTTCACAGAAATGTTGATAGACACCGGGGCTGGATTGTCTATGTTATCCATTGATTGTTATAAATCGATGGCAAATCCTCCACCCTTGATGCCTGTAACATGCAGGTTGTTTCAAGTGGATGGCACACCTTTACAAGTTATTGGTCGAACTCTTTTCAATTTTGAAATAGGAGGGATGAAATTCAAATATCCTTTTGCAGTCTTGAATATGGCGACTTCAGCTATTCTTGGATTTGACTTTCTTACAGATGAAAATGTTATTCTTAATATTGCTCAACGTGAAGTGTATGTAGATGGTTATATTATTGAATGCTATACCAAAGGTGCTTTTGGTGTTTGTAGAGTTAAAGTCGAAGAAGATATTGTTTTATTGCCTGGATATGAGCAAGTTGTAAATGCCAGAATTGATTCTGGAGATAAGTCCTTTGGAAGAACTGACAGCATAATTGAGCCTCTGAAAGATGTTGCCACTAATGCTCCTTTAGTTGGTTGTAGTTTAGTGAAGGCTTAGGTGAATGGTGAGGTTCCTGTTAGATTAATGAATCACTCAGATGAATTGAAAACATATAGCAAAAGCACAACGGTTGCCTTAATTCAAGTTGGTTGTTAAAACTAATCGTACAGATAAAGATAAATCAATTCAAATAATAAAAGATTTGATGCAGAATAGCGAATTAACAGATAAGCAGAGACAAGATGCAGAGAAGTTAATTAATAAAAATTTAGATGTTTTCGCAAAGGATGAAGATGATTTAGGTAGGACTAATGTAGTCATCAAACTGATACCGGCGGTGAGAGACCTGTACTCCAACCTCCAAGGCGGTTGCCCTATGCATCAAGGGAAGAGGTTAGGAAACATCTTGTCGAAATGAGTCGTAGAGATTTGATAGAACCTTCATCTGGTGCCTGGTCTTCACCTATAGTTCTTGTCAAGAAGAAAAATGGTTCTACAAGAATTTGTATTGAGTATAGGCGACTTAATGAAGTAACAGCAAAAGATGCCTACCCACTACCTCGTATTGACGAATCAATAGATTGCCTCTCAGGATCATGTTTATTTTCTTGCCTCGATCTCCAATCTGGATTTTTCCAGGTTGAGTTGAATGAAAAGGATCGCCAGAAAACTGCCTTTTCAACACTTTATGGCATGTTTCAATTTGAAGTGATGCCCATGGGCCTCACAAACAGTCCTGCTACATTTGAGAGATTGATGGAGATAGTGCTATCTGGTCTTCATTGGGAAATATGTCTCATTTACTTGGACGATGTTATTGTCTTTTTGAGAAGTTTTGAGGAACATATTTCAAGACTTTCAGAAGTATTTTATCGATTTCGTTTAGCCAAATTGAAGCTGAAAGTAAGTAAGTGTCATTTATTCAGGACTGAAGTCCTATATTTAGGCCATAAGATCAACAAAGATTGAGTGACCACTGATCCAGCAAAGGTTTCGGCTGTATCAGACTGGAAAACCCCAACCTGTACCAGAGAAGTCCGAAGTTTTCTGGGATTAGCCTCTTATTATAGGCGTTTTGTGAAGGATTTTGCACACATTGCAGAACCTCTTCACCGCCTTACAGATAAAGGAGCTAAATTTCAATGGACCGACAAATGTCAACTGTTCTTTGAGAAAATCAAATCCAGTCTAGTTTATTCACCTATTCTAGTACATCCTGATCCATCGAAAGAATTTATACTTGATACTGATGCCAGTGATGAAGGTTTGGGAGCAGTTCTATCCCAAGTATGTGATGATGGAATTGAACGTGTCATTACATATGGGAGTAAAGCTCTTATTGTACAACACGTAAGGAGTTGTTAGCTGTAGTAGTGTTTCTTCAACATTTTAGGCCCTATCTATATGGCCAAAAATTTACCCTGCGAACTGACCATGCTTCTCTTAGGTGGATTTAAGGTTTAAAGATCCTCAAGGACAATTAGCAAGGTGGTTGCAAATACTGTCAGAGTTCCAATTCCAGGTAGTTCATAGACCTGGTAAATTACATGGTAATGCTGACGGATTATCCCGAAAGCATTGTCACATGTGCAATTGCTTTTCAAACAACACTGAGAAAAATGTTGATAGGAGTGTATTACTCCTTCAAATTATACCAAATAGTGAACAGATTTCTAAAGCCCAAAAGGAAGATAGGGTTTTGAACGAGGTTCGAAGTTAGATATCCAACAACCGTCCATGTTGGGATGAAGTGGCTGGTAAATCACCAGAACTGAAAGCACTTTGGTCACAATTTAAAGTTCTTTCCATAAGAGAAGACGTTCTTGTTCGGAAGTGGATAAGGTTATCTGATGATGATAGAGACGCTAGATTTAAACTAGTTGTACCAAAGTCTCTTCGAGAGAAGGTACTAAAATCTTGTCATGATGAAGCTACAGGAGGTCATCTTGGCTGTGACAATACTTACTCAAAAAGTAAGTCAGGCTTATTATTGGCCCTGGCTTCGTTATGATGTTAGGCACTGGGTGAAAACTTGTGAGTCATGTGCGAGGCGGAAACCTCAACGAAATGGTCCACAGGCTCCACTTTTACCGACTGTTTGTGGTTACCCTATGGTGAGGATTGCCATCGACATCATGGGTCCTCTACCAGAAACCTATGATGGTAATAAGTATGTGGTGGTAATTCAAGATTACTTTTCAAAATGGGTTGAAGCTATTGCCGTTTCTAATATGCAAGCTGGTACTATTGCATCTGCATTATTGTGCATGGTTTTGAGGTTTGGTATACCGGGAAGTATTCACTCAGACCAAGGCTCACAGTTTGAGTCGGAATTATTTTCCGAATTGTGTAAGCTACTACTCCCTACTATCCTGCGAGTGATGGTCAAGTTGAAGATACAATAGAACCTTGCAAAGTATGTTAAGTCATTATGTTGAAGATTTTCAACGAGATTGGGATCTACATCTTGATGTTGTTTGTTTTGTGAACATGATTCCACTGGTTTCTCTCCCGATGTGATGATGCTGGGACGCGAAGTTGATCTCCCTGTGAATATCATTGTAGGAAGACCTCCAGGAAGTTTGTTCACACCAATCGAGTATGTGAATAATCTCATCAGAAGAATGGACAATGTGTATGAGTCTTGTAGAGATCATCTCTCAGTCAGTGCTAATAGGGCCAAGAAACGTTATGACCAACATTGTCTACAGAATCATTTTGAAATTGGAACAGTAGTCTGGGTTTTTATACCTAGAAAAAGAATAGGGATTTCATCTAAACTGCAACAGTTTTGGAGAGGTCCATATATAGTGAAGAGTAAACCATCTGACTTAATTTATATGGTTCAAACACACAGCAAATAAAGAGGTTAATGATAAAGATGATGTGCGATATCCGAAATTATTACCAAGTGTAATTGTAACCAGATGTAATAGATTAACAGAATCTACTCATACTATAACTGACTCAACAGGCTCACAGATAATTTATAGATTGGTTCCTCGTTATGCACAAGAAATCGCCAACTTTGATAGAAATGGGCATCTTCAAGGATATCAGACCATCCTACATAATCTTTGTGTCCCTAATGATCAACCAAGTCCACCACCCATCTAAGTAGCTTAGGAAAAGAGATTGCGCGAGTATAAATTATGAATTACTGTGTGTTTCTTTCGCGTGTAAGTGCTAGTGCCAGTGTAAAAATAAAAAGTTACAAAGTCTGTAACATGTGTTTCATTTTGTGAATATATCATTTTTGGAATTCTTCAATTTTTGGATGCGTATAAGTGTGAATCCACAGAACATATAAGAATTGTACAACAGACTGTTACTTGTGTTTCTTTATTTTATTGATCATTACTTATCTGTATAGTGTCGATGCTTATCTATAAAAACGTTGAAAATTATTTTGTTTTGTTTCCTTAAACTCTGGTGCGTGCAACAGACCTATATAGTCAACAATTACGCATTTACTCCCTTGTGTGATACTCCAATTCACTACACACCGTTTGTTAATTCTCTGAGACTTTCGAATATACTTTTCGCTCTGAGAATTGACCTTAAAGGGGAAACACGATATTGAAGGTATTGACAAAATAATAACAGATAAGCCCTTCTGTTTATTCTACTACCACTACAGAATCATTTATCATAATATGAAATTAAAGGTATTTACAAAAACAACAGATGAAAGTTCAATACCAGAAGATATGATAAATTGATATAAACCACCATCAAGTAACGCGACAGTTAGAGGAAGGGAGGACAACCCTAAGACAGGTGCTGTCGGGCTTGAATTGGGTGGAGTTGATATACAACGTCATCAAGTAACGCGACAGTTAACCAATGACGGGTAAGATTCTCCAGAAGGGAGGACAACCTAAGACAGGTGCTGTCGGGCTGGATTGTAGAATTACTACTAAAGGGGCATTAAGTTCAATACCTAATTGGAGGTGATCATAAATAAGAAAAATATGGTTTTGTTGACTTTATAGGTTTAATATGGACTCTCAGTCAATCATCTCATAAACATTAAATTTGGAGAGAGATTTCCAATGTTTGATCATTTTAAACTGTTGAATTTCTTATCTGTAGTGATAAAATTTCATACACCCTTCTTAATTCTCTGAGACTTTCGAATATACTTTTCGCTCTGAGAATTAACCTTAAAGGGGAAAACATGAAATTGAAGGTGTTGAATATCCCTTCTGTTTATTCTACAAGACTTTCGAATACCTAATTGGAGGTGGTAATAGATGAATTAATCACAGAAAGAAAAAAATATGGTTTTGTATGACTTTATAGGTTAACATGGACACTCACTCAATCATCTTATAAACATTTAATTTGGAGAAACATTTCCAATGTTTGATCATTTTGCATTGTTGAATTTCTTTTTCAGTTGTTCCCATGATTTCCTTCTACAGAAAGAATAATTGATAGAAAAACACATTCCATAACCCTTATTCCATCAAAATAGCTTTCTTGTTTCAACATAAACTAGTGTCCAAAAGAAACGATACCAACTTATTTTCAAAATTATTTTTTACTAAGTGAATTGTCTAATATGAAAACATGCCAATTCGTATTGCACATCCCAAACACAGCATAGTCGATAAAAATACCGGGAACACGTGATCACGGGGCTGCGCACGCATCACTATCACCAGGTTGATGCAGCGGTTACGTCAGACAGGTCAGACGTCAGACAGGCCCAGGAGTGGAAGACCACGAGTAACCACGCCCCGTGAAGATCGTTACATCCGGGTATTACACCTGAGGAACCGCACCGTAACAGCGATGTCCGCGGCGGCTACAGCACTGGGACACAGGATCAGTCGACAGACCGTCTACAGGAGACTACGGCAATATGGTATCCGGCCACGTCATCCCTACCGCGGACCGCTCCTGACGCCTCGACACCGGAACAACAGACTGATCTGGGCCAGGCGAGTTCGACGTTGGCAACGGCGGGACTGGGCACGTGTTATGTTCTCTGATGAGAGCAGATTCCCCATCTTCAAGAACGATGGACGGCAGCTTGTATACCGACGATTTGGTGAACGTTTGGCGCCTAACTGTATCCAACAGGTCCGGCCGTTTAGAGGTGGAGGGTTAATGGTTTGGGGTGGCATATGTGGTGACGTCAAAACGAGGCTTGTCGCAATTCGTGGAAACCTGAATGCACAGCGTTATATTGATGACATCCTACGGCCTGTTGTGGTGCCCTTTATTCAGCAACAGCCTCGTGGACTCCTTTTCCAACATGACAATGCAAGGCCACACACAGCAAGATTGACACAGAACTTCCTTGCCAACGCCAACGTACAGGTTTTGCCATGGCCCGCATGTTCACCGGACATGAATCCCATCGAGCACTTATGGGACCACCTCGATCGGCAAATCCGACTTCGCCGTGTGCCTCCAGTCAACGTCCAGGACTTGGAACGATGTCTCCTTGAGGAATGGCAACGCATCACTCCCAACGTCATCAGACGTTTGACGTCATCAGTCCGTAGGCGTGTTCTGGCATGTATTGATGCTCACGGTGGACATACCCGCTACTGACTTGACTTTGTGACGTGTGGTGTGACATTTCCCGTTGTTTCTGTGATCAGTGCTCTAACGAAATGTTCTTTTTTCGACCCCACCCATCTTTAAAGGCTTGTCATATTGGTTGTACAGATTTTATTGAAATGAAATTTTTGTACAGATGTTGTGAAAGGATTTCTCAACACCAATCCTAAACTTCTGCATTGTTTAGTTTTTCTTTTATGTCGTTGCAAACAGGTGGTATCGTTTCTTTTGGACACTAGTTTATATATTAAACATACATAAGCAGTCCACGCTTTATGTTTACAAAAATTAATTGTGGTCTGAAATAAAAAAAAATTTCCAAAGAAGAGTTACCTCGCTTTAATAAAGTGAAGGAAGTGTTGATAAAAAACCAGACCACATCTATCAAAAATTTTAAAAGTATTGCCTTTTTTGTTTTCTAATCTTTTATTTCGCATTTCTCTTATATGTTTTAATTCTTTCAACTCGTTAGATCTTTTCACTGCATCGCTTATATTTACTACAGATCCAAGAGCTTGCGCTTCTGAGGAAATGAGGGATTTGTTGTTTGAGACAAAGTTGGCTTCTTTTGGGATGAGAGATGATAGAGCTGAGAAGAAACCATCTCCTTCGAATTTGTGTTGTTCGTGTTTTAAAATTAAACTCATTCTGTTTTTAAATGAGTTAATTTGAAGATATTGTAGGCCAGGGGCGTTTGGGGGTTGGTAAACGGGTACCTCTATAGGCTCCGGATTTATTAACCGCGTGTCTGTTGGGGTTGTTTGTTTGGTGGGCTTGCGGGCGCCACAGGCAAAAGAGTAGTATAAGAGTATATAGATAGGGGGCGGTTTTTATAATTTATAGAAAGTGCCCCCTATCTATATACTCTTATACTACTTACGCTAATCAAAATGGCGGCTTGATTGAATTTGAATTACATTTCTGATGATATGCATATATGTTTATGGGCGTAGCTTTGAAAAGTAGAGTTGAAAAACCGACTTTGGCTCATTTTAATTTAAATAACATTTCTGATGATATGCATATATGTTTATGGGCGTAGCTTTGAAAAGTAAAGAGTAGAAAAACCGACTTTGAAGGCCATTTTTGCAAAAACTGGATATGATGCAAAACTTCTGAAAACACATTTGCGATTATCAACATGACAATTTTTCCCCGTATAAATTTCAGATCGATTGACACACTAAACGTTTTGGTACGGTGCTAAAGGGAGTTTGCTATTATAACTTGCAAAACATATCGCAAATTTGCATAATTTAAAGTGCCAAAGTATGACGTTACGTTTATGTAATACAATGCAGAAATTCGTATGCAAATCGAGCCGTAAATACAAACTACAGTGTTGTCCGTAGGTATTCATAGTTGTACACATTTGCGCATGTCCGGTTTTGCAAAACTCTGCCTTTTACATTTAAAATCTAATGATCAACGAAAACAATGCAGGGTGTTCGTTACTGCAAAAAAAAAAATAAGAATATTTTTTCGAATAACGAAAACAAATAGTCATTTGAAAAACAAAGCAGTGCGTCCACTAGAAAGAACGCACTGCAACTAGAACCGTGGACGGTGTACATGCAGTGCGTATTCTAGGAGATATATCGGTGAAATGTTGCATTGAGTCACAGTGAGATTTCGTACTGTAAAAAATCGATAACCGTTCGGTAGTGAAAAGACGAATGAATTTGATACTATTTGGTACTAAATTGGCTCTAGAGCCAGAAGTTAACGATGTACAACAAAAATGGTAACATCTTTGGATAGATCTTGCCAAGGGGAACAACTTTTGTCCTGGTCAAAAGGTCAACAAAGGTTAAATAAAAGAGATATGAGATATAATTGCTGTTTTCGAACGTCTGTAAAAGCGGAAGTAATTGTCGGACATCAAAGATCAAAGTATCAATGGACATCCAAGTAAAAGGTCAAAGAATAACATTTTGTAAATTATAAAACCCATTCCTTTTTTGAAATATTAAACCCAGAAAACCGTGTTTTTATTAGGAACTGACCAAGGTGGGGTACTATTTTGAAGCAAAGGTTGAAGGTTGACAAATAAATACTTTGCGAATTATGTAAGATTTCAATCAGGTTAGGTAAATGTGAATCTAACCCGGATATCTTATATATCATATACTGGAAAGCTCAAGATCTCAGCATTATGAATCCGAAAGAATTATTGCTCTACCTCTAATAGGGCACATGTTAGAACACTTTAAAGATGCAGACTCAACTTTCAGTGACACCCATACAACCGGAGTCACGTGTTGTACATAAAAAGATTAACATCATGTAAAAGCTGAAGACAATAGTAATTATTAATGTAAATATCAACGTCATCCGAGGCCAAGTTCCTTTGGTAGAAGCGTTCAAAGTTTTAAGGAAATTGCAACATTCCCTTTAATGTGATTTTGACACCATCAAATACCATATAAATTGAAACCATTTATTAAGTGCATTAAGGACAGTCTTTATCACCATGGTCAATATAAAGGTCATCAAAGGTCAAGATCATGAGTTATAAGCCTTCAAACTTTGAAAAAAAACATCAGGTCGTACAAACAAGGCAAAACCGAAAATCACAATTATGCTTCCTACGCATTGTAGACAAACATTATACGTATCGTATGACACAAAAGTTACGCAAATCGGATGAAAAATGGCCTCTGAAGAGCAATTTCTGCAAAATGAGCCAAACCAAAATGGCGGCAGAAATGTTACTTCCGGTGCGAATTCTTTTAGTTTAATAAGTTTGTATTAAGGCTGGTAAAATAATGCATATATTATTTTTGACATAACTCAATTTCACCGGAAGTGATACCACCGAAAGTACTCACATCGAAGAAAAAAAAACTAGAACTGTTCTAATAACAGTACTGATGCAGGGCGGGTTATGACATTCAGGTACATACGAAGATGGTCTATTACATTGATGTAAATACTTTTATGCATCTCTAAATGCAAATATCCAAAAGTGCCTGGAGTTTAAAGTATATTGACTAGGAATAAAAGAATATTTGTCAATTAAAAAAGACCAAGTTTAATGAAATCCGGATAAGAAATAAGAAATTTGGTAATGCGCATGCGCACAACAAAAATTCAATATTTCCATCAAATTTAGAATTGGATTATACACATACATACCAAGTTTGGTGAAATTCGGATAAGAAATAAGAGAGTTGGTAATGCGCATGCGCACAACAAAAATTCAATATTTCCATCAAATTTAGAACTGGATTATACACATACATACCAAGTTTGGTGAAATTCGGATAAGACATAAGAGAGTTGGTAATGCGCATGCGCACAACAAAAATTCAATATTTCCATCAAATTTAGAATATGATTATACACATATATACCAACTTTGGTGAAATTCGGATAAGAAATAAGAAAGTTGGTAATGCGCATGCGCACAACAAAAATTCATTATTTCTATCAAATTTAGATATGGATTATACACATACATACCAAGTTTGATGAAAATCGGAAAAGAAATAAGAAAATTGGTAATGCGCATGCGCACAACAAAAATTCAATATTTCCATCAAATTTAGAATTGGATTATACACATACATACCATTTTTGATGAAATTCGGACAAGAAATAAGAAAGTAGGTAATACGCATGCGCACAACAAAAATTCAATATTTCTATCAAATTTGGAATTGGATTATACACATACATACCAATTGTAACTACCAGATTACAGAATTCTATGTCTTAATTTTTGACTACCTATATTTCGTAATCCATATTTTAGGCGCAACTAAACTCCTGACTTCCGGTGAACCCCAATGGACATGTGCTCAAATTCTTACCGAAGCCTCAAATTGTTAAAAAAAAGACCGCTGATAGCGGTTATCAGTGTGTTTTTTCAGTTTATAATGTTTGTTAAAACTCATTAGAAGATGTTTGTGAATAAACTTTTGTACAACAATACGCAGTTTTTAACGTATTGACAGTTTTTTAACAGACTATCTTCAAGTAAGCGATTACATGGTCATGCAGCGAGAATTGGATGCCGAGAAGTGAGTGTCTGAAGCTGATATATAGTTAAAGTGACTAGTTGTGTTAGTGACAATACAGGTGAGTAAAAAATAGTAAGATGGGGCATAAACATTTCCTAGAAAAGTTAACTGAAAGTTATAATTTGCTCAGGAATAAAGACACATTTGCTGATATCGACCACAAATATGAGGAATATATGTGTGAATGGAAAAGGTATGTGGAGGACCACAATACATATTTGGAATCTGCAGAAAGTGAGAGTAGGCCTATGGATACTAGCATTATTAGAGGTGATTCATTGTGCTGAACTTGAAAAACATGTTGAAAATTGGAGAAAAAGTATGGAACAGAAATCCAAAAATGCAGCTCCATCACTTTTTGGAAGTGTCAGTGTGAAAAGCAGTGTCAGTAGCACACGATCTAGTCTGAAGAAAGAGAAAGAAAAATTTGCTTTGGCAGAATTGAATATACAGAAAATAAGAAGACAGCAAGACATTTCAAAGAGAATTCAGGAGTTAGAGATGGAAAGAGAGATGATAATGGCTGAGAGCAAGTTGGAAGAGGCAAGAGTCGCTGTAGAGACTTTGGTTGTAGAGAATGATGAAAAAGATATTAACATTGATAAATCTGTTGCCCCACCCCACCAATTTGAATTTTATAGCCCAGAAGCTTTACCCAAATTGTCGTATAGTAGGCCTAGGCCTATTACTGCTGTAACGCAACTCAATAATATTACTAATGATAATTCAACTGCTTTGATGGAAAGATTATGCCAAGTGATGTCAACTCCTAAGTTGGAGTATTTGACTTTTGACGGAAGCCCCAAAAAGTACACCTCATACGTACACAATTTTGAGGAGTGTTTAAAAAAAAAATAATGCAGATGAATCTAGACGTTTACAACTGTTAATCCAGCATTGTTCAGGGGAGGCAAGGCAAAGTGTTGTGTTAATTTACCCCCTGGTGTCGGCTATAAAACAGCCAGATTAACATTGTATGAAAATTTTGGTCGTCCTCATATTATTGCAAAAGATTATATCGAATCTCTAAAATCGTTGCCTATGTTACGTAATGCTGATAGTAAAAGCTTATTAGAATTTACTAGACATTTAGAAATAGCTCATAGGACATTATGTGGTATGGGGGATGATTATCGCTCTGAAGTAGATCATGCAACTACCTTATTACTTTTAAATAGCAAGTTACCTTTATTTCTTAAGGCAAAGTGGACCGAAAAGGCAGGTCGTTTAATTAGTCAGTGTTGCAAGCCAAAATTTATTGATTTTGTAGACTTTATTAGAGAAAGGGCTAATCTTGTAAATAATGAATTTGGTGATAACTTAAGTTCTAGTTATTCAAAAGAAAATAGGTTTGATAATGCCAAGAAATTTGTAGGCAATGCTAAAAGACCTGTTACAACTTTAGCTACTGGAATTCAGAAAACTGATTCTTCTTATAGCATTAAATGTGAATTATGTTCTGAACCTCATCCTTTATGGAGATGCCCGTCCTTTAAATCTAAGTCAAATTCTGATAGAGCTAAAATAGTATTTGATAAACAACTTTGCATTAAATGACTTACAAAGAGTCATAGAATTAGGCAATGTCCTAAAAGTAATTTTAAGTGTTTGTCAAAGGATTGTGGTAAAGATCACAATACCTTGTTACATGCTGTTGACTTTAAATCAGTAAGTAGGTCAAGTGACAGATCAGCAAGTCAAATATTATCCCTAGTACTACTACAGCTGCTGGGGCTGGTGTCAAAAGAGTATGTCTGGGTATAGTTCCAGTTAAGATATCTGTAGGAAATAGTAAGAGTATTAGTACATATGCTTTGTTGGATATAGGTTCTGAATTATGTTTGATCTTAGAAAGTTTAGTTGAAAATATTAGTTATTATAGTGATATTGATAAATTAACATTAACTGGTATTACAGGTTCTGCTGAAGTTAAAAGTAGAAGTGTTCTTGTTACAGTGAAGTCGTTAGATGAACAGACAGTTGTTGTAATAGATGGTGCAAGACAATTTAGTTAGAAATTAGGATTAAGGGTCTTGATATTGGGTATTCTTCTGTTCTTATTCTGATCTGAAATTAGAAAAAATATAGTATAGTATCTGTTATGTACTGATTGTTTTTAGTTTACTATGAACAATATTATCATTTAAGTTCTTATTATTTGAATATGCAACTATCATTTTCTGCTTATAGACATGGGGGAATTTCTCTTGAAGGCTCTTATAGTGGGCATGAACTATCTTGCTTGCTCGATTGCTGGTTCTATTAAACGGGACAACAAAGGATGCTATGCCTACATTATGAATATTTAGTCCTATAGGTCTTGCTGTATTCAATGTCTCAATCCAATGGGCTTCCCTAGATTGACGGAATTTGGTAGTTCCATCTTCGGGCAAGTCAATTTCTATACGCTCAATTGGGATTGGGGTGAAATCGTCTATTGAATGGTCGTCGAGGTTGAAATGATTAGAAACAGGCTTGTCTTTCTTTAATTTGATGTCTGACCTATGAGCATTAAAGCGAGTTCGTAAATTATTCTTAGTTTCGCCTACATATTGTTTGGGGCATTTCTTGCATGAAATTAAATATATTACATTCGAATGTTCTCATGTTAGATGTTCCTGGATCGGGTACCTTTTATTCGTAGAGTTGCTTACAAAATAATGAGTTTCTGATATAAAGGGACATGTTTTGCATCTACTGGACAAACATGGAGCACTTCTTAAACCTGGAGGTACTTCGGCATAAAGTCTGTTTTTAGCTGCTATCTGTGCTAAGGTGGAATTTTTTATGTTTCGTAAAAATCGTTTAGAGTACCCACGCTCTTTCAGTTTTGAGAAAACAATCGTACAGGCTTTGTTGAAATCAGAAGATCTTGTACAAATTCGATGAAATCGTTAAACTTGTGACTTAATTATACCAAAAAAGGTATGTTTTGGGTGAAAGGAGCTCTTGTGCAAGAGTTGATGAGTATCAGTTTCTTCGAAATACACTTTAATATCCAGTTTATTTGTTTCTACTATGGAATCTCCCTTAAAGACTGTGGTATCGAGAAAGTCTATGCTTTTGTCACTTACGTTTGCGGTTAGTTTGATAGAAGGATGGTGGTTGTTGAGAATTTCAAAGAATTCCCAAAACTGTTTGATAGAATAAGTCCAAACCTTAAAAATGTCATCCAAAAAGCGTCCATAAAAAAGTGGGTCAAATGGACAGAGGGGCAACACCTCACGTTCCCACTCTGCCATGAAAAGGTTTGCGTACGTATGATGTAAATCCTATTAGCCCCTATTTCAAGAAAATGGTTTAAAGAAAATTTATCTATAAAATTCCGGAAGTGAAAATTTCAACTTTAGAAGCAAATGACGTCAAAACCGGAAGTGCTAGAAAAATTTTAAAAACATAATTTTGTTCGCTATTAAAATGTCTAACTACTTGCAAATTTTCAGATCGATTGAAATAAATTTGTAGAAGTTGAAAAAACCGCTAAAATTAAAACAAACAAATTCAGCGACAAAAGTTAAAATCTTACATTTTTTAAAGAGATATCCTTTAGCTACTACTAAAAAGTAACAGACAAAACAAAACTTTCGATGAAAAAATGATTCAGAATTGAAGTAGTAATTCGAAAGTCATAATGACTGGCTACGTCCTGCGTCATTAGGTTAGGTAAAAATGCGCCATTTTACATTTAAACAACAACGACACGCATTTTATGACAGATAATGATGTCAGTTATTGTGTGACATAATGCAGTTTTGGCTGGGCACTCTGACCAGAATCGGGAAAAAAAACTAGAACCGTGGACGGTGCTCCTGCAGTGCGTGTTCTAGGTGATATATCGCACTTGATATTTTGATCAAAATTGCGCGTTTTAAAAATTGAAAATTTTGTACTGACTTCTATCGTAACTGTGCGTAAATTCACGGTGTCTATTATTCACCGACAGTCACCTTTGTTGTAATAGATGGTGCAAGAACAGTCAGTAATTTACCTATTTCAAAGTCATGTGTACCCACATGGTCAGATGTCAAAAAATGGCCTCATTTAAGTGATTTACCCTTTGAAGAATTAGATAATCTAGAGGTTGGTCTGATTATTGGTGTAAGAGAAAGGCCACATTTGTTTGTTCCAACTGAGAGTAGGGTTGGTAAAATTGATGAACCAGTTGCATTGAAATATAGTTTAGGGTGGATGATATTGGGTCCTGTTTGTGATGATGTAAACAGTAGTAGTTTCTCTGTGAATTTTGTAGGCAGAAATCAAGCTACAGAAAATGACGAGTTGAAAGTTTGCCTGAGAAGACTATGGTCTACTGATTTTGGTGATATTGGTGACAACAAAGTGTGTTTGTCAATTGAAGATAGAAGAGCTTTAGATATAAAAAACAACTTAAAATTTTATTTCTGTCGAGGTTGACAGCCAGTTTAATCTAATAAGCCGATTTATCTAATATTAACCCCATGTTAAGTGAATGGAGTTTTGAATTTGCATGTAAGACATGCATGTTATATATCACTGGAAAGCTCAAAATCTCTACATTACACAATCGAAAGAATTATTGCCATATCTGTATTAGGGACCGAGATATAGCACTTAAAAGGCTCAAAATGGTCCATATTTAGACCCCTGTAAATAGGTATCTGACCCCAAAGGTCAAAAGGTCATCAGATAGACAAGGTCACAAATTATCATCACAGAAAATATGAAGGTCATCAAAGGTGAAGGTCATGAGATATGCGCCTTCAAACTTTGAAAAAAACAATCCGGTCGTACAAAAAGTCAAAACCGACAATCAAAATTATGCTTCCTATCATTTGTAGACAAACATTAAACAGATCGTTTGACACAAAGTCACGCAAATCGGATTAAAAATTGATTCTGGGAATCGATTTGTGCAAAAATGAGGCAAACCAATATGGCGGCAAACATGTTACTCCCGGTACGAATTTTTTTAGTTTAAAAAGTTTGTATTAAGGCTGGTAATATAATGCATATGTTACTTTTGACATAACCAATTCCACCGGAAGTGATGAAAATTTTTTGAATATGTGCTTTTATTCCACTTTGCTGGCGGTCTACACCAGGTAAGTTTCAAGTCAATCCGCCAAATAACAACCTAAATAATATTTTTCAATTAATTTCGGCAAAAAAAGTATGCAATGAATTTTCGAAAATCGAAATTGTTTAACTGCTATCATTTGCCCTTTGTTACAAGGAATACAATAAAAGAAACCCGATCAAAATCGGTTGATAAACATGCCCTCTAGAGGACATTTTCCGTTTGTTGCTAATGTCGCTTCATGTTGCTCGAGAAATTTTCGTTTTACATTCATTGCACAATTCTCCACAGGTTAGAAAACATGGTGAAATCCGTTTTGCCGTGCCCGTTGTCGTTTCCGAGAACTAAGCTCCCGGGATGAAGAAAAAAAAAGTAACAGTTTGAAAACAATGCAGGGCGTAGAACCGTTATAACGGTACCGAAGCAGTGTGCATCCAACCTGATACATCGATAAAACGTTGCATTTTAAAGTCACAATGGGATTTCTTACCGGAAAGAAAAGCATGTAAACATTCAATAGTAAAAAAAATCCTTGAAACCGTTCGATAGTAAAAGGACGCATGAATTTGATACCATTCGGTACTAAAAGTTGTTAACATTCGGTAGTAAAAAGTCGAATTTTCAAATAGCTGTAAAGTTAAAAGGTCAATTCGCACAATAAAAAATGAAAATATGTTTGGAAAGGTCTCATCAAGTACAATAACTTGTGTTATGATCAAGAGGTCAACAAAGGTCAAATAGAAGAGATATAAGCCTTAAAAGTGTTGAAAATTGCTGTTTTGGGACGTCTGTTAAAGCGGGCGGAAATATATGTCGGACATCAAAGATAAAATGACCTTTGACCTTGTAAAGACCAAGGCCATGCATGTAAATGGTCAAAATATCAAAATTTTATATATTGTAAAACCTATTCCCATCAAAATGTAACTCTATCACATTTTTTTCCAAATAGTGATTTATTTTTATGTGAAATTTCGATGGTGACAAATGTAAACTTTGCGAGTTATAACAATTTGAAATATTTCAGGTAAAGGTAAAAGTAACCCGGATTTGCCACGCGTATTTCAAAAATATTTTTTATTTGACCGTAACAAAAGTTATTGTGCTTGACGAGACCTTTCCAAAAATATTTTCATTTTTGTTGTGCGATTTGTACTTTTAACTTTACAGCTAAATTCGACTTTCTACTACCGAATGTTAACACCTTTTAGTACCGAATGTCATCAAATTCATGCGTCTCTTCACTACCGAACGTTAAACGGTTTAAACGATTTTTTTAATATTGAATGTTTACATGCTTTTCTTTCCGGTAAGAAATCCTATTATGAATTTAAAATGCAACGTTTCACCGATGTATCAGGTTGGATGCGCACGGTGGGTTCGTTTTGCCACATTGCCCAACATGCCGCATCGTGCCCAACTGCACAAAAACGTCTTTTAAAACGGAACTAAAGGTTTCTGATAAAATCCGGTATGGCCAGTTGTTTCACATGAAACGGAATATTTTAATCTGTTTTATTTTATAATTTGGACCTGATAGGTAAATCGAAACTATAGTTAAAAAATGGTAAAATCTGGAATAAAATAAATACCAAGTAAAAACGATCAGAAAATGAAATGAAATGAATGGAGATTTACGTCCTTCTTTTCTGCACCATGTGGGCTAATGAAGACGGGCAACGCCATGCAGGGTGCGATGAGGGATATTTTGCCAGGACAGCGGCATTAGCCTGCTCTTTTTCGATTTCCAAACTGTCGAGGGATCTTTAACGTGCACAGCCGGGGCCTCGGTTTAGTGTCTCATCCGAACGACTAGACGCTTTTTCCATGTCAGTCCCTCTAACCTGCATCACTGACAGGGGGAAACCGGGTTGAAAAATCCGAAGGTATTATCTCGACCTATGCCGTGATTGAACCCTGGACCTTCAGGTTAAAAATGAAATGAAATGAATGGAGTTTTTAATAGAGTAATTAAGTCATTATTGATCAGTGGTGGCGACAGCCTCTTGGAACTGGGATGCAAATATGGGGAAGACTGATTAATGGGGGGACAACTGATTCACTGATCTAGTCGGTAAACAGTCGTTTAGCGGTAGGTGTAAACTTCCTAATTTCTTCAAACTGTCAGAATTGGGTTAGTAAAGACCTAAAATTCGAAAGTTAAGTGTGGAAGGTAATAGAATACTAATTGATAAATAAATCATATGAATTGATTGCCAAAATTATAATACTTTAGCTTACAAAAATTACTGTTCACGAAAAAAAAATAAGTCGTTTTTAAACTATCTATTTGTTGACGAATAAAGTCTTTGAATGGCATTTAGCAATTGTGAGTACGATGTATAGACACAGCTTTATGGAACAACAATCACTGGTTAAAGTTTTATGCAACGTTTCGACGTGTTTCCCCCGTCGTCCTCAGGCACATAATGAGAAGAAGTGATGGGCAAACTATATATACATTAATGCTTATTATTAAGAACACACAAGAGATAAATGGTTTATTGATACATTACATTAAATTTTAACAGGTACAATAAGAGGTATATAATTCTTAAAATAACATACAGGCTGATTAAGTAAAATAATTGAAATAAAGTAAAGGAATTAAAAAAGATTAACTGAAGATTAAATAAACAACTATTGCTAGTATTGGAGTCTTTTATTAATAGAAATTACATTGTTCATATAACTAACTATGCTTAAAGTTGGAATTGTTTATTAAATACATTTATGAATATGAATAATTACAAGTTGATAAGTTTATCATATGCATGCGATAAACGAACACCTTCATCTCCGTTAAGGTCAGGCTGATATCTTCTGATGTGGATAGCTTCATGAAGTCTCCTGGTTTTATCTATGTGCTTATTGATTGTCAGTATGTTGGTGTTGTCAAAGTTGACTTTATGTCCTGTTTTCCTTCCCATAGCACGATGTTCAGCCACAACGGTTGTTCCTTCATTGCCGGGCTTGTCTTGATGGTCTTTAAGCGACACAGTGAAACAATCTAACGAGTTGAAAGAATTAGAGCTAATAAGAGAACTTCGAAACAGGAGATTAGAAGAAAGGAAAGGAAAAGGTTTTAAAGTTATAGGATAAAAACGATTGTCGCTCACGCTCCACAAACAAATTTCGGTTCAGGAGATATACAAAAATCATTGGGTTCTCTTCCTGGACTTCCATGGGCGAAATATCCCGGAGAAAAACATCTTCCCGGTCATAATTACACCGGTCCAGGTACTAGGTTAGATCTGCGATTAGACGAAAACGATAAACCCAAACCAGGGGAAGAACCAGTCAATAGAGTTGACGCCGCTGCGCTTAAACACGACATACTATACAGAAACAAAGACATAAACTTCAGTCACAAAGCAGACAGACAAATGATAATCGAACTTGAAAATATTTCAAATCCAACTTTCAAAGAGAGAATTCAAAGGGCTCTAATCATAAAACTGTTAAAAGCAAAGATGAAATTAGGCAAAGGATTAGCGGATGAAATTCACAAAGAATTTAGAAAAACTAAAAACTTTTTAAAAGTCAAAGTGTTTGAAAAAAGATGAAATATGGTCAGCTAATTTAATTCATATGCCAGTCGAAAGAGGATTTAAATATTGCTTAACAGTTATAGATTTGTATACGAGATATGCTTGGGTTATTCCTTTGAAAAAACAAGACGGGATTATCAGTCAAACACGCATTGGAAACGATTATGAAACAATCTAACCGACATCCAGAAAAACTGTGGGTAGATAAAGGAAGTGAATTTTTTAACAAAAATATGAAATCTCTGGGATTTGAAATTTACAGTACGCATAACGAAGGTAAAGCTGTAGTAATAGAAAGATTTAACAGGACTCTAAAAAATAAATTATTTAAAAAGTTCACGGAATTGAAATCTCAAAAATGGCATAAAATATTACCAGAGGTTGTAGATGAATACAATAACAAAATTCATTCATCTATAGGTGTCACACCAACACAAGCCACCAACAATCCAAATATTATAACGTCAATTAACGCGCAACATAACTATGAAAATGAAATAAAGAATTTAAATATCAAACCCAAATTTAAAGTCGGAGATCGAGTTCGTATTTTTAAATATAAAAGCAAATTCGAAAAAGGTTACGTTGGATACTGGACGAACGAAATATTCATCGTTGATAAAGTATACAACACATCACCTAGAAGATTAAGAGATGTAGACAAGCATTTACGCTTTCTTAAATTTAAATTTAAATGCAAATTTATGTTCAAAATATTATCGAATGTGTTTGATCAGAATGTAATACAATTTTTTTCAAACACAAACTACGTATATATTTCAACAATACTTCTAAAAAAAAACGACTTTTAAAAATGAATGAATTTCTCGATAAATATGGAACCGATACAACCACAAACTTTCAACTTATGAGATGGGCGAATGAGTTAAATATATCACCGTTTTATTATTGTATGAGAGATGAAATAAATGATCTGAAATATAAGAAAGGTAAATTTTACGCTATAACAAATATACATACTTCCGATCAAAAAGGAGTTCATCATTCTGCTTTGTACAAAGACTCTGACTTATATTTCTTCGATTCTTATGGATTAGAACCCACTGAAGAGATAATGCAATTGACTAATAAACCAATCAAATGTTCTTCCTTTCAAATTCAATTACCGGGACAAAAGTTTTGTGGTCAGCTTTCACTTTGGGTTTTATATCAGTTGAGTTTAGGAAAACAGTTCGAAGAAATTGTAATAAATTCAACTCAATAAAAATGGCGAACAAGTTTGGATTAGGTTCTTTATCTTTAGAAACTAAAAAACCTAACACTACAGCGTGGATAAATAAAGCGAAACCTTACTTTGTGGATCAAATCGGAGACACTCTTCAAGGTGATTTAGATATTGACAATTTCAAAGTAACTAATTTAAAGTCTCCGGAAAACGATAATGACGCGGTTCACAAGAAATATTTATGGGAACAAATAAATTTAATTGAAGTAAATAAAAACCATTTAGAAGATAAAATAAGTAATGTGAAAAGATTCTTCAAACGTCAACTATATAATAAAAATTTTGTTAATGATACTAAACTACAAAAAGAGGTAAAAGGTTTAATAAGTTTTATTCAAGAACAATTGGTCAACGTAGTGAACAAAACTGAGTTACAAAATTTAATTTCATTAATATCTAAATTAAAGGATAAGATTGCAAAACAAAAATTAGACATTCAACAATTAATAGATAACATTCCAGATGAAAATGAAGATACGTTTCAACAGGAATTAAATGCTCTAGAAACTAAACTTAACAATGAATTACAAAAAGAACTAAGAAATATTAAACAACAAATACAAAACATAGATGATAGCGAAATCAAAACCTATATTCAACAACAAATACAAAATATTGATGATAGTGAAATTAAAACCTATATTCAACAACAAATACAGAACATTGATGATAGTGTTTTTCAAAAACAGTTAACAACTATTAATAACCTAGTTTTGAAACCGGACAAAAATATAGTCGCATTAGAAAAATAATTCAAGCAAGAAAATAAATCATATTATTTTACTCTTCCATTTGGAAGTTTGAGTGATAAAGATGCTTCTGTTACTGATAATATTGATAGATCAAAAGAGTATGAATATAAAAAATATGAATTTACAGCAAATATTAGAGTATATTCTCCAAATTTAACCTTCCCCTTTAAAATATTTAATTCTCAATTTGTTTTTTTTTTGAAAAAAATGTTATTGAAATTTTTTTTCCTATACAGGTAAAAGTTGATTCAATATTTTTCACACAAGGATCACCATCATCTAATAAATTTAACGTTCGTAAAGTTCTTCAGTTTATCAATGGTAGAGTCAATGTAGAAACTAAAGAATATGAAAGTAACGACGAAAATAACAAGGTTGATCACTTATATGAAATTAAAACGAGGAAAATATATAGATAGGTTTAGAATGTTAATCATACCAGATAAAAAAAATGATATTTTTACATTAGATGAATTTAATATGATATTGGAAACGGAAAGTCCACCATCAGTAAGTATTATTAGAAATCCAGAACCAAAAAAGTAGAAGGATTGCCAATCACTTATCAGTTTTTACGAGTAACAGACTTTGAATACATAAAACTATATTTTGTTAATAAGTTATTCATTCGAAAATTCCTCTTCAACTGATTTATTTACCTCAATCGATATTCATAAAAGTCAACAAGATAATGAATTTATAATATTTTCATCAATAATTGAACGTAATGGTAGCATAGAAGTTATAGGTATATATACCTGTAGATGTATGATAAAATTCAATATCGAAAAACCAAAATTTTCAGTTCATCTGAATAAGATTAATGATTCGAAAGAACAAATATCGTTTGTTACTGTAGAAGTTTATATTTACAAACCTGAAATAATTATAACAGACAAAAAATAGTCCCTGGTGGAACTCTTATTGGGCATCCTATTGTAGATATTAAACATTTCCATCTTTTGCTTTATCAGAAATTCATTTAATTTAATTACCTAAAAAATGGAACTCGAAAGTATACAGCAATATATGATAGACAAACAAAACGAACTAAAAGAAAAACTGAAACAATTCAACAAATGTAGACAAACATGGAGTAGAATCGATTCTGTTTTCAAAACATTAAGTACAGTTTTAACAGTAGGGATAACGGTTGCAACAGCCGTAACCGGTGGATTAATGCTTCCAATAATTGTCCCAACTGTATTAGCCGTGTTCACTGCCGTTCAAACTTCATCTTGTGGATTTATTACTTAAGGTTTTACATCAAAAAAGAAAGCTTATTATAAAAAGAAAACAGAAATGTTAAATACATATCTTAATAAATTATTCATTTTTTTCGAAAGATCGAGAGAAGATAAGAACATAATCATTGAAGAATTAGAAGAATTCAATGAAATTTTAGATAAATTTGATGTAGAAATATCATCAATAAAAGTTAAAAATAGTTGCTTAAAAAATATGAATAAAATTGGAATTTTAGACGATGAAAAATTCATATCAAATGAACTTTTTTCCAATGTTATTAAGCTTATCACTGATGAATTTTTAACATTTAAAGGGCAAATTGAATTAGATGGAGAGATAATTCAAGATGGAGGACACAAACAATACATGCAATTTGTAGGCTTTAATGCCAAAACTTTTCGCAATTTCTTCGCAACAGTGGATGTAAACTCAGATGCTTCTGATTGGTATTTCACAGGAAAAATGATTTTACGTAAAAACAATTTCAAAGAAATAAAAAGATCAAAAAAGGGTAGTGGTGTTACCCTACTCAAAAAGATAAATGAATATAGCGGTATAAATTGTTTTATACCGAGCGATAGATACTGCGTTAATCGTGTTTTAAACGAAGACTACAAGAGAGAATTTCAAGATTTCATCAACAGTTTTTCAAAACCAAGCAGAAAAGGAGTTATGACAACTGCTAGAATCTGTGAATTCAATAAAAAATTTAATACTAATTTTCAAATTTATATGCCCAAACATAGACATTTTCAACCAAAGAAAGTATCCGAGGAATTAGATTGGGTATTTTACTTACATAAATCACATTTCTGTCTCATTAGAAGAAATAACAAAACCTTAGGCATTTCAGAAATAGAAGATAATTACGATGAAAACGTATGGAGTACTTGTAGAGATGATAATGCGATAACGCAAGTTTCACCTCTAAAACTAAACGTTTTTCCAACCATTCACGATGATTGTTTATACGCATGGGATTGCGAAACCTATAACGAAAATAAAGCCATACCTTATTCTTGCACGTTAATTAATTTAGAAAAACTAAGAAAAATGTTAGACAGAATAAATAATCTCTTTCCAGATTTAAAGCCGACAGATCCCATTCCAGAAGAATTTTATAATAAATTAATGAATATAGTAGAAATATTTGTAGGTACAGATTGTATCGATCAAATGTTACAACGTTTAGGAAAAATAGATCAAAAAAGAATAACATTAATTGCTCATTACGGTAGCGGTTTTGATAACTGGATCATGATCAAAAACGAAAAAAACTAACACAATACCCTTTAAAAACAGCCAGAGGAATTCTGTCTCTACCTTTTACTAATTCATTCACCGATGAAGATTTACAGAAAAAATGGAAAAGAAAGAAAGAAATAAAGGGTAAAGTGGGAACGTGAGGTGTTGCCCCTCTGTCCATTTGACCCACTTTTTTACGGACGCTTTTTGGATGACATTTTTATGGTTTGGACTTATTCTATCGAACAGTTTTGGGAATTCTTTGAAATTCTCAACAACCACCATCCTTCTATCAAACTAACCGCAAACGTGAGTGACAAAAGCATAGACTTTCTCGATACCACAGTCTTTAAGGGAGATTCCATAGCAGAAACAAATAAACTGGATATTAAAGTGTATTTCAAAGAAACTGATACTCATCAACTCTTGCACAAGAGCTCCTTTCACCCAAAACATACCTTTTCTGGTATAATTAAGTCACAAGTTTTACGATTTCATCGAATTTGTACAAGATTGTATAATCAAAATCTAATCCAATATTCCTATAATCCTCAATTGATCAAAGATATGACTCAACTAATTAAGAAATCAAAAATAATCCTAATCCTCAACTGATCAAAGATATGACATGATTCACTCAATAATTTTTAGAAAATCAAAAACCTGTATTAACTGACTACTATATAAATCGCAAATTCAATGTCATTTCATAACCATTCCTCGACACTTG